GCTCCCTGCGCCCAGGACAGGGCCACAGCCACACTCCGAGCAGCACGGTCCCAAGCAAGTGGTGCTGGCTACGTGGCCCTCGCCGCGCCTCCCAGTCCTCACAATTTGATGCACCATGCTCTGGATCATCAAAGGCCCTCTGTGCGAGGGCCACGGGCAGGCCACACGCCTGCGAAGGAAGTTCCTAAAGGACACTGGGCATAAAATGTGACGGCTTGTACCAGCTGTTTAAAAAGTTTCGGGTCCTCCTATTTAAAATAACTGCTGTGTAATGTGCTGCGCACACCTGCTAACGCTAGTCACTTAGTCATTCTCTCCTGCAGCGTTACACTGTTTTTGCCAGTTCCCACCAATTTACCTTCTGCTAAACTTGCAACTGAAATACCAAGGGCTGTTTGTTTTTTTGTTTTGTTTTGTTTTGTTTTGTTTTTTTGTTCTGTCTCAGTAGAGCTGAGGAGAACTGATTTTCAAAGCTCTTGTGGAAGGGAAAGGCAGGACAGCTTCAGTACTTGACAGAAGAAGATAGGGGGGTGGCCTAAGCCTGCTGGATGCCAATTACTATTAAGAACAATACAAATTAAAATAATGCAATTCTGACAATAATCACAGCAGTGTAATATGCTAATCAATAACAGCACAGACAAGTATTTTATTTCGCATCTACGGTAACAAAGGTATTTCGCTAATGCTTGATATTCATTTTTCTCACTCCCTATAATTTAATAAATAGTTGTAAAACAACAAACATATTATAAGATATACCTAGGTCCTATCCAGCAATAGATGAACATAATTTTCTAAGCAGATGGAGAAAGGCATTTAAAAAATAAAACTATAAGCATTCCAAAAGTAGAAAAGAATTTTAAAAATAATTAAAAGGTGAAGATCTTTCCTTACATCAAGACACAAAATAGAACTGATTGTAAAAAAAAAAAAATTATACCAAGAAAAGAAAGAAAAAGTGGTGAGGAAAATATTTCAATGCACAGTGAAGAATTCCTAATAATATTCCAAGAGAATCACAGTGAAAAAGACAGGCACATTAACAGAAATCAGAGCAGCTCAGAAAAAGAAGAAAAAGAAGCTCCGAGGAATTCCCAAGAGAACGACTGGGAAAGGTGCACTGAGTCAGCTCACCCTTTTATAAAAAGAAAGCAGAAGAAAAATTAGTCTTTTCCATTTGCTGGTTGTTAAAAACTGAAATGTCCCTAAGCGTGAGGTGGTGACACACACAGGCAGCTGCTACGGCAGACTGCTCAGACCGCTTCATCAGGGCCAGGTCCACACGCGCCTTCTCCTCTCTGGCCTAGGAAATGCCACCCCACGAGTGTCCCTGCCTCGTGTGGGGGGCACATTTCTCCCACCTGCGTCTTCCTCAGCTCCGCCACAAGCCCTGCTGCTACCGTAGAGATGACCCAGGGCAAAGCAGCCAGAAGCACGGCTCGCAGCCGGCAGAGGAGGCGAGAGGGCGCCCGGTTCGTGCCGTGGTGAAGGCAGTTGGTGACCCCATGGGCACAGGGAGTGGGCAGCTACCAGGGCCCCTGGCCCTCAGGGCACAGTGCAAGGCCAGGCTGCACAGCCTCAGGAAGTGGGCACGAGAAAAGCAAAACATGCTGGGAAGGAGTCATTTGTGGGTGCTCCTGAACCTAAGGTCAGGAGGGAAGGAGGGAGAGAGGGAGGGGAGGGGGAGGGGGAAGACAGAACAGCACGCACTGAGCAAGAATGGGGCATGCAAGCACGGCCTCAAGGCCGCACGCACAGAGCCTCCACCATCCTCAAGCGCAGGCGGCAGCCCTTGGTTCCCGCAGCTACGAAGAAGATCGAACTGCAGGACGCCGAGCGCGGGCCTCTCTAGGAGCCTTCAGTTACCACAACCGGAAAGGGAGGGAGTGCACCTTCTACTAATTCCTTCTTAATTCATGAGTGGATTCCTTCTGTGGAGTCCTTTTAAGCAAAGATTAGACAGCTTAGTGCAATTAACACTTCCAAGAAAATTTCAAGATCGCTTTTAATAATTCAAAAGTCTTATTCTTTTATATTTAGTCCAGGGTGTATGGGGTCTACAGGGTCTCACTACGTAGATCGGACTTGTAGTGATCCGCCTGATTTCAGCCTCCCAAGCGCTGGGATTACAGGCAGCACCACCACACCCAGTCTCTATTGCTCGGGTCCGGCATGGCACCCCGGGGATCGAACCCTGACCGCTGCCCTCAGCCCAAGCAGGCGCTTTAGTCCACTGAGCCATTTGGCCAGTCTTAATTTTCCTTTTTTTGGTTGGCTAATCTGAGCGGCATGTGGTGACGGGGATCAAACTCCGGTCCGCAGTACCTGAGTTTGTACAAACAAGCGCTTTAGACAACTGATCTATCCTGACGGCCCCCTCAAAACAGTCTTCTAAGCTGTCTCTTCTGAAATTATTTGACTATATCCAGAACACTTTTGCCTTATCTAATATTCAATTTGTTCTGATATTACCTAATATTCAATTTGAAATCTATTTGATTATCTTTTATTCATTCAATAAATACTCTTGAACAAAAAAAAATGAATCCATTGGCTTGAAGGATACGGCTTAGTCCTCATGGTATGCCTCTCATCCCTAGATCTATTTACTCTACATTTGTCACGGAACCGTTTATGACCTGTGTTTCCTTATTTCTTCATATGCTGCCCGTCAGCCCCAGTGTTCCACTTCTCCCCAGTCTTCCTGCACGTCACGGTTCTGTTGGATTTCACGGGAGTCAGGGCGGGCACTATGGTTTATCTTCGTGCCATCTCCCTTAGGACCTTCAGGTCTGCTCACGTTGTGTTACAAGTCTGAGCAGTATCCCTTTATGTGTGCACATGCATGTATGTGTACATACATATTACATAGATAGAAATCTATCTACATGTAACTCACGCACCACAAAACTTTTTCACCATCTGTTTGTGGACAGACATGCTGAGCCTGTCTTGGCTGTCGTGTGAATGACAGGATGAAGCCCGGGTGCCGTGTCGTTAGGAGGGATGCCTCGAGTCTCTGGCCAAGGACCCAGGACATAGGCGGCTTGGTCTTGTGGCTGTCCTATATTTATTTCTTTAGGAACTGCCTGACTGTTTTCCATATTGGATAAACTAACCCCCATCCTCACCAACAGTGTACTATGGATTCCTTTGTGCCACACTGTCACCAACACTTGCTAGCGTGAATTCAATCAGGACAATCATGCTGTAAATTTTAAATATACACATTAAAATTCATTCAAAAAAGATTTTGAAATCTAAGTGAAAAACCAGAATTACCCTAAGACTTTAAATTTTGTTTAAAAGGATAAATAGTAAGTTAACTTAAAGATTATAAGAAAACTTTTTAAATAGCTAGTGAGTGAATCATACTTATTTTAAAGATAGCCCCAATGTGTATCCTCTAATGTTACTCATTTTTCTTTTCCATTTAACATGGACTTATTCAGATATTTTTAAAAAATCTAGTAGCCTCTAAAACAAAAAGTCACAGACTCAGGGCCAGGCACGTAGCTCTGTGTTGTAGCGCCTGTCTGGCAAGTACAAGGTCCTGAGTTTGATTCCTAGTCCCAAAACAATAAAAATAAAAACCTTTCCTGAAAAGTTATAGACTCTGGCCATCCAGATCGCTCAGCAGACTAAAGCGCCTGCTTAGGCAAACTCAGGGACCGGGGTTTGATCCCTGGTGTACCGGGCCAGCCCTGCCCCTGGGGGGCACTGAGACTGCACTTGACACTGGGCGTGCTAGAAGTCTCCATGGCTCTGGGAAAGAGACAGTGCGCGCGCACACAAATTAAATATGTAAAAAGTACAAAGGAGTAGTAGCAGTCCAATGCTCTTTGTAAAAAAATAAATAAAATTATGGTAGGATTTGGTTAAAGGTTTCAGGTCAGCTCAAATTTTATATCAATCAGTGATACATATACCATACACAAGTGACAGGCCGGAAATAATCAGATTAAACAATCAAACAGAGTTTGGGAGGACACAAGGAGAGGACAGCATCCTGTGGATGGCACCCGGGCTGCTTCTAACCAAACTGAGAAGCTGACACCAAGCGCAATAAGGACACGCGGCTCAGGCCACGCCGCCACGCCGCACGCTGCACCTTTCTCTCAGGGACCTTCACAGGCTCCTATTGTTTACTAGGACATTAATGGGTGGAGCATGCTCATTTTCAAGGGTTCCTTTAGCTCTAAAATTCTGATGCTTATCTTTTTTTTAAATAGGCAATGTTTTCTTATTCAAAAGAAATGCAAACTTTACTACTTTCATTACTGAAGCTTAGTCTCCTTTTTAATCTGGCCATGAAAGCAAATCATTAGATCATTTCTGCCTTCCCAGTTATAAATGTACATTTTATAGATCTTACATAGAACTAACTACATAAGCTTGCGGCAAGGACCGCACTAGCTTGGCTGGCGACACCCCGAGAAGCGCAGGACGCCTGCCCACAGCTATGACACAGTGGCACCTCCAGGAGGGTGCCTAGCTAGCGGGGGCTGGGTGAGCTGCACTGGTGCCCTGCAGGGAGATTACCAGACACAGCCTCCCTCTGCTAGCTCCATTCTCCTGCCGAGGCTCCCATCCTGACGCGCTGCCTCACCACAGGCCAGAGGCAATAGGGACTACACGCCCCCAAAGGGAGAGCAAACCAAACCTTTTTTATTTATAAGTTGATCACTATGGATATTTTGTAACAGCACTGGAAAGCTGACAAAAATGGAGGTAGAATTACTCATTACAATATATTATAAAGAAATATCACAGTGCTTGTTGGATTGTTCCAAAAAAATGATGGAGAGGGTAAGTGCAGCTATCCAGGGGAGGCTGCGACCCTGCGTGTCCTTACTTCACTCTCTTCTAAAGCTTCCACTCCCACCTATCCATGAGTGAAGTCACTCGTATTTACAGGCCTGTCCTCGAAAGCACAGCGCTGCCTTGCAAGTCATTCCTTCGTCCCTCGGGCTGTGCCCACAAACTCCACAACTCACCGCTCGAGCCGAGTCACCAAAGTCTATCTTCAATCTTCCCATGGCTCGAATAATAGCAATGATGGACTGGATGGTGTTGCTGTAGACCACTGCTTTGTACTGCTTGCATTCCTCTTCCGAATACCCCGCCTCATGTATAATTCTAATAGGATAACGGAAAAATCAGAGCACTTAATTTCCTCTGATGGGAAGGGGACTTTAAAAGAACTGAATTTTTTAAACCTACTTACTTCATCTGCTTTACAATTGTACTTTTCCCAGATTCACCAGCACCTGGAAATAAAACAAAGTAACACAATAAGGTATTTCTAATTTCACTGTCATCCCGTCAGTATATCCAACTCCCAAACTCCATTTGATTATCACTAATACTTAAATTCAGTAAACTCAAAGACTGCTTTCTTGTGTATACTTCCTGAAAGATTAAAAATTGGAACCTGTATTGCCAACTGATCAACTCTGCTGCGCACTAAAACCCTAAGTTCACGAAGCCCCGACTCCGCACTGGAAGCCTTCTGAGCC